AAAGAAATGGGGACCCTCACCCAGAGAAACGCGTGTGCTCCTCAAATACTACAAACAAACTTAAAATGTCCAAATGTTTTCATCTGAATCTTCACATGTAACACAGAACCCCTTTCCTATACCACTGCGGGCTAGAAGAATAAATTCCGGTCCGGTCGATGCAAGGTGGTCTAGCTAAATTCTAGACTATCTACGTCTTCCACTCCTCCCATCTTGTCTCTTGTCTCCAGTCTGACGTCCACAGTGTAAGCCAGAGTACTGGCTTTAAACAACACTGACCAAAGCTCTCAGTAGCTCTGATATCTGTCAGTTTTTTTTTTTAACTTAAATTACAACGGAAGAATGAAGTCAAGAGACTGGGGAAAGAAAAATCTTCTCAGCACTTTCAAAACTATATCCCGAAGTACCAGCTTAAAAGCTCTCTCCTCTACCAGCGTTTTGGTGAAGTGACGGATGTCCAGCAACGCTGCAAACCAACGTGAAAGGAACCACGACAAGAACAGGTCAAATGTCATCTTCCTCTATTCAGAAATAATGGCGGGATAATGCCACAGATCAAGGTTTCCAAGGATAGACGGGGGGGAGGGGGGGTGTTGGTGAACATCGGGAAGCAAAACCAGTGACCAATGACAACCTAGCATTAGGGCTCTGTATCCATGAGAAACACCTGAGATGGGGAAGATCTTGCAATAAATAGCCCTATCAGAAATCTCGCGTGGCCAGGAATACACGACCACCAATCCAAGCGCCCGCATCTTCCTCCACTGCCTCTCTCCCGCCCCCCGCCTAGCAACAGAAGCGCTGCGGCAGAAGTGGGGGAAACGGGAGGCACGGAGGACGTGGCTTGGGGGACTTAAAACTCCGGTATGAAACCTGCTATTACCAGCAAAAATATCATGTGCCTCGGGCATGTCACAACACGGTGCCTCAGTTTCCCCGGCTGTCAAAATGAAATACGGCAACGAGTGTGACACCCTCAACATCAGGGCCACAGAGGAACCACCCCCTTGCTAGAAAGGCAAGTTCGCAGGAGAGTTGTGGGATCTGAGGCTGCCGCCCACCTCGAGCATTCCCTGCCAGCCACAAGGCTGAGCCCCGGCACGACCCACCTTGTTGTTGTACTCCTCCACGAAGCTGCCCAGCGCCAGGCGAAAGCGCTTGTCGGGCCGCACGCTCCAGTTCATGGCGTAGACAGTCCAGGGCGCTTCATATTTGTAGATCTCCTTCCGTTTGCCGTGCAGGGACATGGTGGCGGCTGGGCCGCAGAGCCGGCCGGAGAGGCGGCGGGCTGGGGCACGAAACGGGCGGGGAGCCCGGCTTGGGTCAGCGGGTCCGAGAAGAGGCGGGGCCGGGGCGCTCAGGAACGGCCTAGCCCTCCAGCGGGTCCTCGGCTACACACACACACACTCCGCCGGGCCCGACCACCAGTTTCAAACTAGCTCCGGCAGCGACTACCACCTTCCGTTTGGGATGCCGGCCCGCCCTCTCGGAACGGAAGCCACGCGATCCCGTCGCGACGACGAGCGTTGGCTGCCGGGTACGTCCTTTCCAAACTGTTCCTTCTTCTTATTGGCTAACACAGCCTTAGCACCCGAGCCCTCTTCACTATTGGCGGAAATGTTTGTCATTTTGTTTATTCGCACCACCCAACCCCTGGAGGCGGGTTCTTCGGAAGTCCCTGAGATCATTGGTTAGCTAAGATGCCAGTCAGACGGATAACGGCTCAGTGCCGGTGAATGGGGGCGTGGGTGGCTGGGGGCCAGGGTACCCCTCTGAGCGCCTGCAAGTTCTAGGCCAGGGGTCTTAAGAGTGATGCCTGCCACTTTTTCACTGCTGCTGCTGTTTTGAATGCCTCTCCCTGCTGCGCGTAATGTGTCAAATCTACCTAAATGGTGTACCTACTGCGTTTATTTCATCGCCCTAAAACCTGAGCCAAACGGGAACTCTGTCCAGCTCCAACGCCACTTTTAAACTGTTCTCTTACAGACCCGAGAGGGCTAGAGCAGCTTGATTCAGGCTTTCCTGCGGGATCCTGTAGACACTACACAGACTCCTGAATTCTAGGATTGTTTTTAAATGGACTTGGCTATTAGTTACTTACTTTCCTCGCCCCGAGGGTGTTCAAAAGCAAAACGCTTAACTTAACCTTAAATGTCTATGTGCTATGAGTTTGGAATGCAGAAAAGCCTGGATCTAGATACATTGTTATACATTTAAATGCTTTCAATGATATTGAAATGAGTTGCATTGACTTGTTAGGCAATATAATAAAGCACAATTTAAAAATATGTTATTTAGGTGTATTTGTGTGTGCCTGAGTCTACATACATGTACCACATGTGTACAGGTGCCCATGGAAGTCAGAAGAGGCGTCGGATCCTCTAGAACTGGAGTTACAAAAGGTTGTGAGACACTATGTGAAATCCTGGAATCCAACCCAGGTCCTCTGCAGGAGCAGCCAGTGCTCTCCAGCGTTGTACCATCAATCCAGCCCACATCTGTTTTTAATAGATGTGAGTTTTAACACAGACACTGGAAGCATTGAGGGACAATGGTATACATCTGAGCAATTATCTTGGATCATGTCCACCTTGTGAAAAGTCTACCGTGCACATTTTAATTTTTAAAATTATTTTTGTTTTTTTTTTGTTTTTTTTTTTTTCAAGACAGGGTTTCACTGTGTAGCACCGACTGCCCTGGAACTTGTTCTGTGGATCAGGCTGGCCTCAAACTCAGAGATCCACCTGCCCCTGACCTGGGTGCTGGGGATTAAAGGTGTGCACCACCACCATCTGGCACAACAAAATAATTTTATTGGGAAGTTTTGTTTCTATACTTATCAAGAAATTTGGTTTGTAGTTTTTTATTGGTCACATCATTACTGATTTTGCAGTGTGTTAATGACTTTGTAGGATGAACTTAGTAGGGGTCATTCCCTTTCTATTTTATGGAAGAGTTCTTTTTAAAAGGTAGGTAAGGTTTGGCAGTGAATCCATGGGCTTCTGGTTTGGTGTTGTTTCAATCTTGTTGCTTGTAACAGATCTGATTAAACTACTTATATTCTGATTTAATTTTAGAAGGATACGTATATGTATGTATACACAGTATATATATATATACACACATATATATTGTATATATTATATAATATATATATTCACCCATTTTTTTCTAGTTTTTTTTTTCAGGTTTGGAATTTAAACTTTCAATGTCTCCACTGACTGGTCCTCTGGATTTCTTTGCAGTCTGTTGTAATGTCCTGTGGTGGTTGACATCCTGACTTGAGAGACCCTAGAATCACCTAGGAGACAAGTTTCAGTGCTTGTGAGGGACTATCTAGATTAGGTTCACTGAGGTGGGAAGACTCACCTTAACTGCGGAAGATTCCATTCCATGGGTTGCGCTTGCGAACTGAAGAAGAAGGAGCACTCAGCCCTTTTTGTTTCTGCCTATAGATGCAGTGTGACCATTTGCTTGACACACTGACTTCCATCCTTTGACTACTGGTCTGCAGGTATCTTTGCCAGTGAAGTGAGTGTTTTGGAGACAACAGATAGTCGGGATTTGGCTTTTAAATCTTTGTTGGGTGAGTTCAGATGTTTAGATTTAAGATCATTATTGAGAGATACTTGCTAATGTCTGCAACTGTGTTGGTTGCTTTTCTGGATGGTTGGATTATCTTGTTCTGGCTCCTGACCTGATACTCCAGGCTGTTCTGCCTCAGCTTCTCAAGTGCTGGGTTTACAGGCCTGAGCTACTTTTAATCTGTGTGCAGGTGTGTGAGGAAGTACACATACATGTGCATCTGTACATACATATATGTGTATGTTGGAGGACAACCTTAGGTGCTGTTCCTCAGGAATGCCACCTACCTCCTTAGAGACAGGGTCTCTCATTGACCTGGACTTCACCGATTAGGCTAGAATGGCTGGCTAGCAAACTCCAGGGATCCTCCTGTCTCAGCCTCCCCAGTGCCAGGATTACAAGTGTATAGTGTATACCATTATTGCAGGGATCTCCCCCCCCCCCTTCTTGAGATAAGGTTTCTCTGTAGCTTTGGAGTCTGCCCTGGAATTTGTTTTGCAGACCATGCTGGCCTCAAACTCACAGAGATCTGCCTGCCTCTGCCTCTTGAGTGCTGGGATTAGAGGCGTATGCACCACCACCACCACCACCACCAGACACTGCAGGGATTTTTATGAGGGTTTGGGAAACAGAGCTCAGGTCCTCATGCATTTTACCCACAGAGCCATCTCTCTAGCCCCGTATGTTGTTTTGAACTAGTGTTAAAGTCTTACTAAGGGTACAAAACATTAACTTTAAGGTTTCAGTTTGTAAAAATACTTGCAAGTATGTGCTGGTCTAATCACTAACAGACTCTGTGGCATCAGATAGAAATTGCAAAAGGAGGGGAAGATGGGGGTGGGGGTTATATTAGAATGATATGCGGAGAAATGGAATGCTGTTTTAAAAGGTTTCTCAAGTGAGATACTCTGGGTCGGAATCTGATTCTCCTTTTCCTAGTGTATTAAGTTTGACTTTTTATTGAAATATAATTTACATGTGGAAGTGCAAAAATTTTTCTAACCTGAACAGATCCATGTGGCCATCACCAGACCAGAAAGCAGAACAATACTGAGGAGGTTACCCACACTCTGGTAAGTGCCTTAGTCTCTCTGCTACTGACCCATGATCTCTCCTGTGAGGACAGCAATGCCCACTCCCTGAGGTTGTCCTGAGGGTTAGATGAATTACTGTCTGCAGGGCAGTCAGGATGGTGGCGTGCTGGGCAGACACTGACTATTGTCATGATTCTCTGTGGACACTTAGACCATATCTCTGTTTCCTTCATCTGGAGATGGCCTCAAACTGTCGGCTCCTGGGCTCAGCTGAGACATCTTCGGGTCTCCAAGAGGCCGGATGTGAGAAGGCCTTAGAGAAGACCCTGGCACCAGTGTGGACCTGCGGATGCCCAGACAAGTTACACATCTAGCCCAACATAAAATGTTCAAGACTTTATTTGCTGTGTGACACTGCATGTCCCCAAGGGACCTCAGGGGAAGAGGGGCTGGGGAGTGAAGCTCTGTCTTTCAGGTTAACCACAGAAAATACCTCCAACTCCAGCCATGTTAGAAGTTTTTGGTGAAAGGTCTGGTCGACCCTGGCCTTAGTTCTGGGCTTTTGAGGCAAAGGATAACTGAACTGGGAGGCGATCACATGCAGCCCCAAGCAAGACTCAAGATCAGAAACCTCCCTTCTTCACTGACCGTTTGAAGCAGCCCTCTGCCTGGCTTGCAGATTATATGGAACCTGAAGGGGGTTGGGCCAAGTCCTGAGCCTCTTCGCTCAGGCTGTCCTCACCTGGCTCAGCAGTCTGTATTTCTCTAAGAAAATGGTTTTCAGAGTTTCATCTGAGGGCTATCTGGCTCCCCCAAGAGGCTTAACTCTCGCCCCACAGTATTTCAGTTCCCTCATGGTGGCTTTTCTCTTGGGGTCCAATGACCCTAACTCCTTGTGAAGCCAGGATCTGAGCCATGCCTCTGGAACTCCAGCTGCTTGGGAACAGAGTCGAGGTGTTCGGGAAGGGAGGGAAAGCGGGGACCGCTGATGAGTCCCTGTATTTCCAGGGGACACAGAGATGAGGCCAGAGGTGACAGGAGTCCCTCAGACTGTTCCTGTTCTGAGGCTGGTACCAGAGTTTTGTCCACTGCCACAGCCAAGTGACGCATCCTGGGGGAGAAATTCCTGGGCTTCTGAATATGTCTGTCCAAGTCACCATAGCTTAGGGTCTGGGAGGGAGGCAAAAAAGAAGGAGGTGTCCTGTGTACGGAGTCCTACCCCACCTCCAGGCCAGGCTACAGAGTTCTTCATTTGGGGCACGAATGTGTGTATATGTAGGGGTGTTTATGAGAGTGTGTGCACGTGCGTGCATGTGTGTGAATATTTTTGTGTGTGCAGTGCGTGAATACATAAATGCTCAGAGGTCAATCTCAGGTGTTGTTTCTTAGGAGATGTCTGCCTTGCTTTTTGTGACAGGATCTCTCACAAGGACCTTGGGCTTGTCAGCTGTGCTCGATTGACTGGCCCATGAACCCTAGAGCTCCACTTGTCTTTCCCTCCCCAGCCTTGGAATCACACATCTATACTACCACACCCGGTTTGTTTTACATGGGTGGTGGTGGTTGAACTCGGGCCCTCATACTGCATGGCAAGCACTTTCCCAACTGGGCCATTGCTCCGGCCCCTGAGCTGCATCTTGATCCACTCTGACCTCAGGGATGCTCCTCCTCAGGAAGGTGGGAGAACCTCAGGGTCTTGTTGTCCACCTGTCTGAGCTGTGGGGTCTGTGACCACCGTCAGGGCTCTGCCAGCACCCTGTCCAGGCTGCTCCACCAGGTGATGTAAATCATAGGAAGGGCAGCAGGAGATACAGCTTCTAATCCTACCACAGACATGCTGAGGTTGGGCCGAGGATGGGAAACCCTGGGGATGCCCCTGTCTCTCACCTGTGCAGGGTGTTCCACCAGAGGCCTGGGCTCTGCACTCCACGTCACTGAAATATCAGGAAACAAGGCCAGGTCACTGGAGGCAGGGGCTCCCAGAGTGTAGCTGGTGTGGCCCTGTGGCTGCTGAAGTATCTGCAGGATGCGGCTGAGGTCTGAGGACATGCGGGATTCCAGTCTGCTAGACAGAGCAGACATGTTCAAAATCGGGGTTCTGAGAGAAGCTCAGAAAAAAAACCTCTCCATTCTGTGACCTGACCTCTTCCCACTGAGTGAAATGGCAGCCTGGGGCTACCTGAAGTGACTTCCCCACTGGGACCCACAGCCTTGACCCAAATTCCCCTGAGCATATCCTTGTCTTTCATGACACCAGGGACCAGGCATGGTTCATACCACATTCAGTCCTAATGATGCTTTGATGTAGGTATTCTAATTGTACCCATTTTACGATATGGCAAACTGAGGCAACAAGTTGTTACACTCAGAGCTTGCTCACACTCTAGCTTAGGAGTTACATGCCTTCCTTGCCTTTAAGCTTTCACTGTCATGCACAGGAAACACCCCCTTTCCAAGGACCTCTGGAATTTGTGCTGCTTCCCTCAAGATGTTTCCTTGGGCATGTACTAGGGTTTGCTGGAGGAAGCCATCCAAGGAATTATGCTTAGTGACATAGAATTAGAAACCTATGCTAAATGTGTCTGCCATTCTAAAACCCAACCACGCACCCAGCAATGCCCCTAAACTGCCAGGAGGTGGCGCCTAACCCAGCCGGATCCTCTTGCAGCTGCCCCACCCTTGCCAGGGAGGTTCTCACCTGCTCATCTGGGCCTGGAGCTGCTCTAATTTAGAGCCTAGCTCCCGAGGCCAGCACTCCAGGTCCTGCTGTGGGTTTGGAGGACTTGGGGGCATTTGCTGTATCAATTCAGGCCAAAGTCCGGATGCATCCGAGATGCTCAGGGAAGGGGCTGCACCTTCAGAAGGGAAGGAGACAGCCTTTGCTATCGGATTCCCCAGGCCTATTCCTTCTCACCAGAGTCCAAGTGCTCCCCCTGCTTGTCATGGGAATGCAGTATGAGGAGTGAGCGGCTCTCCTTACCCAGGAGTTCTGGGGACAAGGTCCTGTTCTTATGGAAGTCTGGCTTCCAGGACCCAACTGGGAGGGGAATAGGGGGCCTCAGGAGTGGCCAGGATAGGGATTTCTAGCCCTGGACTCATTGCTCATGGAGCTGCAGCCTGGGAGGGGGGTGGGTGGGTATCTCTTGGAACCTTGATATAGAACCTCAGGCACTTGGCTAGTACCCAGCCCGGAAAGCAGCACCCAGCAAGCAGTGAGCTGTCCCTCCCTGACTCAGAGGACACAGGCTAGCAGGGCTGGGAAGACGGAGAAAGGCTTCTATCCCCTTGCCCAAGGAAGAATCTTTCCCTACCACTGAGTGGCTGAGACAACCTCTTTCAAGGAGAGGCAGAATAGAGGGGTCACTAGGAGTGGCTGGGGGCGGGGGTAGGCAGGGGCTGTCTGAACTCACCTGACTGGCTGCCACTGAGGAAGAAGCCTTGGGGGTCTTGGTTGCCTGGGGCCTGTTGGGGTGATGACTGGGGACCCCCATCTGCCTTGTAGGGAACAAGAGCAACAAGTAACAGGGGCCAGAGCTGGGACAGGCTCTTTCTCTGTTCCTCCCTGTCCCCAGTTCCCCTCTCTGGCCCTGGTAACAGCTGGATGAAAAAGTAGAGACAGGTATCTGGGCACATCCGAGGAGCTCTGGGTGCACCCTGGGAGCTCTGGGCGGCTCCCTGCAGGCTCCCTCCTAAAAGGGCCTCTAGCATGGGACCAGGTTTGGAGATGGTGACCTCACACCTGGTGACCAAGGAGAGTCCCCTGGAAAAGTCTATGAACGACAAGATGAGGGTGGACAGCAGAAGGGCTCCTCCCTCACAGCCTTTTCTGCAGTGTCCCAACACCTCAAACCTCAGCCTTGGCCAGTGAGTTCTGTTTTCTGGTAAAGACTGATCTGGAAACCCCTATCTAGTGGTATCTATGGGGGCATTCTTGGCTGTCCTCTTTCTGGCACCATGAGACTTGGGGGTACCTCGGGGTTATAGTTGACTCAGGTCAGCTAAGACCATGGAGATCCCATCCCTTCTGCCCTAGTGTCCAGCTATAGGACACAAAGGCCACCAGATGACTCCCAATAGCTAGGTCAACCAAGCAGGGTGCTGATTGGATACCTCTTGTGCAGTTCAAGAGAACAGAGAGGCACAGGGAGAACAGCCTGGGAAGGGACAGTCACGGTAAGAAAATCTACCTCAGCACCACACTCCAGAGCACTGGTTCCAACCTCCCTAACACTGTGACCCTTTAACACAGTTCCTCATGTTGTGGTGACCCAACCATAAAATTATTTTCGTTGCTACTTCATAATAGCAATTTTGCTAGTGATATGAATCGCAATGCAAATATCTGTGTTTTTCAGTGTCCTTAGGTGACCCCTGTGAAAGGGTCATTCAATCCCCAAAGTGGCAAACTGGATGGGCTGGCTACTTTCACATCAACTTGACACAGGCTAGAGTTATTTGGGAAGAGGGAACCTCAACTGAGAAAATGATCTCCACCAGATTGACCTGTGGGCAAGCCAATGGTGCGTTATCCTGGTTGATGTATGAAAGCCTAGCTCTCTGTGGGCAATGCCACCCCTGGGATGGTGGTCCTGAGTGCTGTGTGAAAGCAGACTGAGGAAGCCACGGGAGAAAGCCAGTAAGCAGCACTCCCAGGCCATGGCCTCTGCATCAGCTCCTGATTCTAGGTACCTGCCCTGATTCTCTTGGATGAGGGACTTCAAGCTGTAAGATGAAATAATAAACCCTTTCCTCCCCAACTTGATTTTGATCATGTGTTTATCACAGCAATACTAATCCTAATTAAGATACCCCAGAAATTAGATGTCTCTTGCATACCCTATGGCCTCTTTGGCTCTTTAAATAAATCTCACTTTATTTCTCTTGGATTGCTGAGTGATAAACTTAAAAGACAGCTGCTGTATTACCATGCCTGGCACCATGAGCCCTCTGGATGTTAGACCCCCTGGATTTTTTTTATTTTTTATTTTTTAGCTTAGTGCCATGTAATGGGAAAGCCCGGGTTTTAAAGTCAGACAACTTGAATTCATATTTTTGGCTTTTTCATCTACTTGCTGTATGGCTCTGGTCAATTTACTTACCCTCTCTGATCCCCAGTTTATTCATTCCGATAATGGAGATAAGACCATTCATACACAAGGACAAGACCGAATTAAACAACCTAAAAGAAGCCCAGTACTTAGTTCCCAGTAGTTACTTACTAAATGGGAGCTATCATTATAGTTAGGGCTGCATTGACCATAGCAGGTACAGAAGCACTCCAGCAAAGGCTGCAGGAGGAGTTGAAGGGAAGGGGCAGTGGTCAAATGAGTCCTTTAGGCCAGGCAGGCCAACTCCTTAGCAGGCCGGCTGGGTGCTATCCACACCCAGCTTCTGACCCACCACCACCCTGGCCCACAGGCCCAGACTCACGTCCCGCAGGTTGAAGGTGACCTCCAGCTTACTCCAGAAGGTGTCTGCAAAGGCAGGGTACATGTCGAGCACCTCCAGCAGGTCTGCTCGATGGATCTTATGCAGGTCACAGTAGGTCAGGGCACGCACATCGGCACTAGATTTGCCTGGCCTGGCATGGAGACTGACGGGCTCTCCAAAGATGTCATTCTTCCCTGCTAGCCAGAAGGATGGTGGTCCCTCCAGGGTCTGATTGCCTTATGAAGACCTCCTCTGGGGGCCCCTTGGCTGTGATCGTCCTACCCCCCCCCCCACCTCAGAGATCCCACAGAGCTGGGGCCTGCTGCTGAGGGGTCTGCGGACAGGGTACATTGCTGGCTTTGATGGAGAGGCGTATGAGGAGGGCCTTTAACCAGTCCTCAGTTACCTCAGATTCCCTCAGAGATGCTCCTGCCCTGAGAACATGGGTTCTCCTTTTTTTTTCTCAGCCCCTCAGAACCACCTTCTGCCAGAATGTCCTTTTCTTTGTCTATACTCGTTGGCACAGTTCCCATTCTGGTCCAATGCCAGTCAAGGACACCAGAGGCTCCTTGCTCCATTTTCTTCTGCTCCCCTCGAGCCACTGACACTATGGAACACATGACAGAGGACCCAAGGATGGAAGCTTCCAGATCCCCTGGGCAGGACCCGGAGCTTCGGTTTCTTTGTCTTCTTATTCTCCATTGTACACATAGGGAACCAGCAAGACCCTGGCAGGGTGACCCTGCGGAGCTACCTCCCACCTGCACTTGAGTGTCTTCAGCCCTCAGATGGGCATAACGGTGCCACCTTCATCACTGTGGTGTTTGCAGGGGCAGAGGTGGTGGTGTCTGAGAAAGTCCCCCCCAAAGCAAGGGGTGTAAGGTCATGCTAGGTCAGTGTAAGAAGGCACAAGGAGAGATGGACTGGGTGGATATAGGGCAGATGGTCAAGGTAGGTAGTACAAGTACTGGGTCCTTTCAGAGCCAGGAGCTAGGCTGGCGATGGGATATTAACATGAGCACGAGACTCTCCTATAAGGAGCCCTTCAAATCCCTAAAAGGCAGTCACTTAAGTTGCCAAGGTTACAAAATTATCTGTCTTAGAACCGGATGCAACCAAGAGCTCTGGGCCCTGAAAGAAGGAGGGGCTCATACTGCCTACCATTGTTAGGACAAGGAAGCAGGGGCTTTCAGAAGGAGTAAAAGTCCAAGAGAATCAAGGACTAGGCCCACAGAAAGAAGGGAATTTGGGCATAAGAAACAGAATGTGCTCATTCATCCCTGCATAGCTAAGGCTGACAGAAGAGAGGTCATGGACCCTGGTATCTTTGACTCCCACTGCCCCCAGGAAAGTCCGGCCTCCTCAGCCTTGTGGTACTGTACAAATGACACTAATGGTTTCACACAGACAGAGGGATAGATGGAGGCTAGGCTAGTGCCACCAAGAGAACAGGATGGAAGGGAGGGGACTGGGCCTTAGAGAAAGAAGGGACTTGCCGAGCTCACACATGGACCCTGAGCCTGTATGTCTGGGCAATGTAATACCAATGCTCATTTTTCTTTTTACACATGAAAAATTACGATCTAATGTCTATTTCTACTGGGGACAAGATGAGAGGATTTCTTGTCTCTCACTGAAACTTAAATTGGGCCAGCTTCTTAATTATTAATATAAATTATCCTCCATGCAGGTGGTAACATGGCTTGGGTGAAAGGGAAGAACTCAGGGGAGTTCGTACTGTAGGTCAGCCGATTGGGAGACCGACTGGGTCTACCTGCCAGGTACAGGGTGGGCTCTGAAGACAGAAGAGCAGAAGAACAGAAGAGCACCGGAGTCACGGCGTGACAACAAAGAGTTGTCCAGCTGCAGCATGGAGCTGGGGCAGGAAGACTGGACTCAGAGTGACCCCACTGGGTGGCATCAGGGGTTTACACATGTCCACAGACCACAGGGACCCACCAAAGGGTTCTGAGTGAGAGTGGATCTGTGCAGATGTGTCGCAGGTGACTTTTGGAAAGTGAAGAACTGAGGATGCACCTAGGGCCCGGCTTCTGGACGCTGCTCCCCACGCCTGCCCAGGAGGACGGACCCAGTGGAGGCCGGAGTGGAAAGCAGCTCTGTTAGTAAGGGCAAGAATGCTCTGTGCATGACAGGGTGGGGGCAGGGGACTGGAAACTGGCAGAATGCTCCTGCAGTTGGCTTTAGCCCAGACAATGGAAGGGCAGGAGACGCTGAAGAGGCCACCTTTGAGGGAAAGTGATGGTGTCAAGTTGGGATCTATTGCACCAGGTCTGGCTTTTAAAAAATTTTATTTTATATATATATATATATATATATATATATATATATATATATATATATATATATATTTTCTTCTTACAGGGTCTCTCAGAGCCTAGGCTATCTTTGAGCATGTATCGCTCATGGAATCCAGGCCTTCACACATGCTAGGCAAGCTCCCTACCAACAGCCACATTCCCAGCAATTTCCAGAAGTCTACCTGTTTTGATCTAAGGAGACCTTGGGACTGGGACACAGCTCTGAGGATTCCTGTGGCTCAGGCTGTGGGAGCAAGGGGCTGGCCCAGGTGAGGCGGAAGTGGGATGGGAGCAGAGTGCAGCCCTGGGTGACCAGCCACTGAGGGCAGGGTGATGGAGAAGGTGGGCAAAGGGGGCTGGAAGAAAACCAGGTCATGGAGATCAAGATGGGATATGGCTGATGTTAGACTTGGAGACTTGGGGTCAAGGATAAGGAAGATGCAGATAGAGGACCCCGAGGTACTTGAAGTCAGCAGACTTGCCCGAGGTCACATGACAAGCAAAGAACTGTGCTAAATGTGCTAAGGAGTCTTCGGGCTGGGTATAAAACTCGCTGGGGCCAGCAAGATGGCTCAGGAAATTAAAGGGCGTGTGGCCGAGCCTGACAACCTATGTTCGATTGCCAGAGCCCCCATGGTGGAAGGAGCAAAGGGACCAAATCGTTCTGTGACCTCTACCTGCTGCCGTATTTCAGCACAATGAATTACAAAAAATTTTAAACAAAGCAAAAAACATTTAAGGGTTGGAGAGATGGCTCAACAGTTAAGAGCACTGACTGCTCTTCCAGAGGACCTGGGTCCAATTTCCAGCACCCACAAGGCAGCTCACAACTGTCTGTAACTCCAGTTCCAGGGGATCCCACACCCTCACACAGACACACTTGCAGGCAAAACCCCAATGTACATAAAATACAAATAAATAAATCATTAAAAAAACAAAACAACAAAACCTTTTTAAAAAAACTCTCTGATGACCAACCTGGCCCATAGTTGTTCAGTAAAAGGTATCATGATACTCATTAGGAAGAAGGTGGTCCAGGTAGGTCCTCTCCAACCTCAATGTCCAGGGCAACCCCCATGACTCACCTAGAATGGCCACGACCACATCATCGCGCAGGATCTCGATGGAGCCTCGGGAGATGAAGTAGAGCGTGGAGAGCACGTCGCCCAGGTGCACCAGCGTGTCCCCAGGCGGCGCATGCGTGGTCTTGAACTTGACCGCCAGGGCTCGCAGGCACCCCTTGCTGGCACCGTGGAAGGCGGGGCAGTGCTGCAGCAGCGCACGGTGCAGATGCAGGCAGATGTCGGCCTGCAGGCACTCGGGGAAGCCCTTCAGGACCTGCGGGGGGGGGGGGGGGGGGGGGGCGTGGCGAAGTCCCTCTGAGCTGGGGCTGTGGGTGCTGTGGGTGCCGTGCGGTGTGGGAAGTAGGGGTGTGGGGCAGGCTACACCGGGCCCTGGACCTCCCCCAGGGCTTGAGTCACACCTGATGGCCCACCCACTCCTCATTAGGGCTTCAGGGCTCACCGCATTCATGTCGATGCCGTTTGTATAGGACCAGGCATGCTGGAAATACTCTTCCAGGCGCTGCCGGAGCGGGTTGGGGATCTGGTGGAAGCGAATGAACTCCTTGACACGCAGCATCTGCGTGTGGTAGCGCGCAGTGCCCGAGTACAGGCGCTGGATGATGGCAGACACGTTGCCGAAGATGCTGGCGTACATAAGGGCTGGGGGCGGAGCAAGATGTGAATGGGGAGCTCTTGGTTGACTCCTGGCTTCCCAGTCTTTTCAGCACCGCGGGTAAGCCCCCCTCTTTGTCCATGGTGAGAGCAGAAGCGCCAAGGACAGCACTAGCACACACAAGGGACAAAGGTGCCTGGGCTCTACTTTGTGCCACCTGGCGTCTTCCAGGTTCTGAGGCCAGACTTCTTCCAAGAAAGAACTAGGGCATTCGCCCCTCCCCCCAAGCTCAGATTTGTTTTCTTCCTTGAGTTGCAAAAATAAAATACAGGAGAAACTCTTGGCCTCTCATTTTCACTTCCCCCCTTTCCATTTCCTTGTTTTTGTTTTTCTAAATGCTTCGAACATGGCAACCTAACGTGTAAATTTCCACACCACCTCTAGAGTTTTTAAACCGGGTGTTTGGGGAGGCAGGAAGCTCTGCCAGCCTCCCAGCTGACCCCTGGGCTGGCCCTAGGACTAGAGAGTGGGTCACCTACAAAGTCAAGACCTTTGGCTTCTCCTCTGGAAACTGGGCTCCTAAGGGAATTTGACTTGAATGTCTGTGAGTACTCAAAGGAGTGGCTGGTAGGACCAGCGTCATGGCACAAAGCCTGTGCTAAGAGCCCAGGTTGCTCTCAACTGTCACTACCTAAATTTTTAAAAATAATTTTTTAAACAAGGGCTCCATGTTTTATTTTACATTGTGCCCTGCAAATGACTTTGCCCAGAGCAGCGTCTCAACAGTTGTTAAAAATCTCTCTATGAGGGATACGCGCGTATACACAAATCCACACGTGCACACATGGGGTAGCACCCTGCCTAGGACAAGGTCACACTCACAGCCAATGAGCATGACGCAGATAGAGAAGACCTTCTCCGAGTTGGTGTTGGGCGACACGTTGCCGAAGCCCACACTGGTGAGGCTGCTGAAGGTGAAATAGAGGGCCGTGACATACTTGTCCTGTACAGAGGGTCCCGAGGCTGGGTCACTGCCGTTGTAGTGCTTGCCGAGCTGTGCACCCAAGCTGTCCAGCCAGCCGATCTTGGGCTCCAAGTAGGGTCGTTCCACGTTGCCGATGGCGTACCAGATGCAGGCCAGCCAGTGCGCGATGAGCGCAAAGGTGCACATGAGTAGGAAAAGGACCGCGGCGCCATACTCAGAGTACCGGTCGAGCTTCCGAGCCACGCGCACCAGCCGAAGGAGGCGTGCGGTCTTCAGTAACCCGATCAAGGTGGTGGTCTGGGGGCAGGGAAAGGTGGAGAAATCCAGGGAGGGCAGTCATTCCACAAACACGCAGGAAAGTACCAGGCACTGGGCAGTAGAATATAAGGCAAGAACCGTAAGGGGTTCTCAGCCAAAGTACAGACCAATGTTCAGGCTGCTAGGAGAGGCGCCCAACGGGACCGGGAGCAGGTTAGAGGAGGCTGCATAGAGATGGTGCAGGAGTGCAAGATGGGAAGGAAGCTACTTCTCCAGGCAGACAGGAGGGAGAAGGAGGGGAACCTGGAATAGGGCCGCGGGGGTGTGGAGGGATAGTAGTGTGGCCCATATGGGAAATCAAGTATAACCTTCAGCTGAAGCTCAGAGTAGCATGCAACAGGTGTGCTCACCTCATCTGAGCCACTGCGGAAGATAAGCAGGTCAAAAGGGATGGCAGCCACCATGTCGATGAGGAACCAGCCCTTGAAGTAGTGCACAGCGATCCGTCGGGGGTGGCTGACCACCTCGTCATTGGTGTTGACATAGGTGGTTCGGAAGTTGATGACAATATCCACGACAAACATAATGTCCACGATGAGGTCCACCACAGTGAGGGGGCTACAGGTATAGCCACAGGTACCACGCTGTGATTCGTCCTGGTCGCTGAGCAGAAAGGCAGCTGAGTAGGGAGTGAAGACCGCTGTATAGATGACCAGAAGCAAGATAAGCCAGTCCCACACAGCCTTGAAGGGGCTGTAGTGTAGGATGGTACCTCGGTGAATGCGCGGCGCCTGTAGTTTATACTCTGGCAGTACATCTGCACCCAGGGACAGGACCTGGGATGGAAGCCATAGTGATCAGTGGGAACAGCCAGCACTAGTAAGACAGATCTATGGGTAGGTCTGGTGTGGGGGGAGGAAGCTGTGGGTGGGTCATAAAGGTCATGAAAGGCAGGGTGACAGAGGAAGGCCACACAAGGGAGCAGGTTCATTAAGGGACAGACATGTTGGGAGGAGGTCAAGGAAAGGAGGAGAACACAGCCCTACCACATGGTTGATCCCAGGAAGCCTAAGCTTTCTCAGAAACAGCCTCTCTTGGGGTGAGCAGGGCCAGGGCTAGCGCCATCTTGATTATGTTCCAGGAAGAGCCTGGGTTGAGATGGTTTGGTAGGCTGTTTGTCTTCGATAGGTTTTGGAGGCCTACTGGTTTTGTTTGTTTGTTTGTTTGTTTTAGAGCTAGAGATTAAACCCAGGGCCTTACTATACATGGCAGACGAGTGTTCTACCATTGAGCTAACCTCCCAACCTAAATTTGGGGCTCTTGATGGAAACAAGTCACTTCCAGATGAGTCTTCACTCCTGAGGGTCAATGAGAGTCCTCCCTAGGCCAACTCACAGAACATCCCATAGAAAGAGCCAAATTTGGGGTTAGAGTTGAGCCAGTATGGACCTCAACAGGTCCTGGGCTCCATGGAGCTCCATCTATAAACCTCATGAATCATTCTAATCTGTAGAGTGCTTCCTCAGCCCTTGTTCCCTTGCCTCCAAGACTATAACAATGAACAGTTGCTAAGACAGAAGCCAACAATTCCCAGGCTCTTTCCAGCTGCCTAGCATGTAACAAGGCATCTGGGGAATTAGGAAGCACATATGTTTTGAAGCCAGGCACTTCGGCCTAAATTCCAGGGTTGCTGTTTGTTTTATCTGTGCCTTAGGACAAGCCGTGTAACCTGTGATACCCCTGTTCCCTTGTGTGTAAGACAGGACAACAAACTGCATAGGGTTGTGATTAAACACGATGGGTCTGTTTGCTTATGGGTCATCCCTACTCCATCCTCCTCCTTCGACAGTGTTCCAAGATGATAGGATCGATGAGGGATTGACCACTGAGTCCTCCACCATTAATTCCGTTTTAAGGAAATCAGCCACGTAAGGCTTTGCTTGATCTTGCAGACAAGATCATCAGTAGATGGGATCACAGGAAGAAAGAAACCAGTCTGAGGACTGATTTCCACTAAAGTGATCCTGATCTGGCATCCAGACTCCTCAGTGGGAGCCACAGTATTCTGCTGTGTCTGTCTTTTGGCCTTTGCCCATTGTTTATTTTCCCAGGAACCCATTTGGGATCCTGCATAGACTGGGACCATCTTTTTTCATTTTGTTTTCTCTACCCCTCTATGTAGCCCTGACCCCGTGGTTACTCAGCCCAATAGTCCATGTCTCTTCACCTAGCCAGCTCTGGGTCCACATGAACTTTCAACCAGGACCCACCAAAGCATCCCTGGCAGCTTGAACCCTGATGCAAAGAGGCAGGTCATGTTGCCACACCCTGGGATGCCAGAACTCGCCTCTCTGCCAGGTCTTTTCTTAGCCCTGTCTGTGAGGCTACATGGTCTCCTCCACACCTGGGACCTGACGCTGGCTGTGCTTCAAATGAGAAGGGGCAGGAAAAGGATTGTCCCTCCCAGTCCCTTGTTCATCGGTACCCTAGCTCTTCTCCATGGTTTAACAAAGCTCATTCTATCTCCTGAGTTGGCACTACTTAATGTCAATGGGTCCTCAGAGACCATTTGGTCTAACTCTTTCCTGAATTTGATAGCTCTGAGGCTCAAAGGTAGGGGTGTCCTTTGTCCAAGGTCACATAGTGAGTCAGTGCCTGGATCCTGGTCACTCGAGTCGCTAGCAGGATTCTATTCATTTCCCTCTGAAAGAAGCAGGCCAACAAGCCCCATGAGAAGGGACTGTGGGGTCAGCTGAAAGGGGGGATTCAGGAAGGGACATTTGCTTTGGGCTGACCAAATAGCAGCTGCACAGGAGGGGCATTTAGGGGTGGATTACCGATAATTCAAAGTTAGCTAGCAGGACCAGTATTGCCTTGCCTCTGCCAGGCATCCTGTGTGCATACTGAGGGGGAGTGGCCATCATCCACTGTAAGTGGCCGTGGCAGGGCTCATACCATCCCCTTTCCTCTCCTTTTCTTTGTATGGTCTTGATCCTTGTACTACTCCCTCCTTGTGATGGCAGAGCCTTAGGCAGGCCCTACGGTGGCCTGTGTGCTCTCTCCTCCTACATTTCTGGCATCTCTAGGCCTAGAAGGAACTCACATGCCTTGTGAATCTCAACCTCTGGTGGTTTCAGGAGCTGGGACGTGGTCTCACGGCAAACCTTCATGTCTTAAGAACCAGACTCAAACTGTACAGGAGGAGGAAGACTCAGACCAAGACGTGAGGGGGGTTGACAAGTCACACCTCAGAAGAGCTGAGATCCAATGCCTTGGAAGGGACCCTGGAGGTCTAATGCAGCCCACCACCCTTGCCCTGCAGACCCATACCTGGGTGACCTTTTCAGTGACATTCTGCGTCCGCTCCACCACCTTGTGGGGAGCAATGATCTCGATCTCTGTGGTGGAGCCCGAGCGGTGTTTCTCCAGGTTGAACTCCACGAAGTTGAGTGTAAACTGCGGGATCTGGCTGACAGTTCTGTATTTGCCCCTGCCTGGGCCAGGCCCCTGTCCACTCGGTCTGCTGTGAGAGCCCTCTGAAATCATGGTGAGGGTCAGAGCAGCCAGGGCCAGGGTGGTGGCCTTGACCCATTCTCACTACTGCTACCACCACAGCACTCACCAGAGCCTAGGAAGCTGTGTGACCACAGACGCTGGGTCAGGCTTCGGCTGCTGCTCTTGGCCAGGAGCTGGGCCAGGTCCTCAAAATTGAGGATAAACATGATGACAGCCCCGTCCTCATTCTTCACAGGTACCACATCGACCAGGCAGCGAAAGCTGGAGGCTGCAAATCCCATTATGGGGGATAGGGTTTGTTACTGAGGAGGCCCTTCCTGCAGTGGTCCAAGTGAAAGGCAAGTGAAGGATAGCCACTGGAGAGAAGAGGCCCGGGAAGTGACCAGAGCTATTTGGCAGAGGGTGGGTGAAGCTGTCCAGCAGGTGCCCGCCTGCCCGCCCCCGGCTTCCTCGGGGCAGAGCTGCTCATTAGAGATAATATGGCATCAGGTCCAGTTCATGCTCAGCCCGCAGCTCAGAGCTTAGGCCTGAGGTTTGCTTCTGTGGTAATTAAAACAGAGCAGATGGGGGTGGATTAAGTGGGGGCAGTGAGGGAGGGCATGCCATCCTCCTGTAGTTCTGGATGGCCCTGGGCTCAGCTCCCTTATAGCCATCCCACCAAGATGGCTGCTTCCCTGACGCTGGAAGGAACTTGCTAGGAACACATCAAGAGCTGGGCACGAAGCCAACTGGCACATTAGGCCTTAGGAGGTCCTGGCAGCAGGCAGATGAGAGCTCGGAGAAAGTGATTTGCTGGAGCTGGCAGGAGACACGGGGTGAGGACCCCTAGTTTCCCAGCAGATAAGAGGTTCAGGGAAAAGGAAAAGGGTCTCAGCTTTGAGGATAAGGCTGGAATGGCGGCCCCAGGCAGAAGCAGGGACCAAGGAGTAGAAAGGGTTTTTGATATAAAGGGGGTGGGGAGGGGAGAAGGCATTGTGGAAACAGAACATCTTACCATCCCAGATCCAGCTGTTGGCACCTTCTGCCTCTGGCCACGCTACCGTCCCCTTGCTCTAGAGCCACGCCATGGACTCATTGGCAGGTGGGTCAATACGAGTTAAGATGCTGCCTATCTCAGAGTCCAGCCTGGGGGTAGACACCCCTTAGGTGTACTATCTGTCTTAACCCAAACTATTGCTAGGTGTCAGTTCCGAAAGGATCCCCAGGGACAGCAGGCTCAGGTGACCATGCAAATCAGAAAGCCAAGCTGCTTTTCCAGAGGGCAGGTTTGAGTCTGTATCACCTGTCCCCGGGATTGCTGGTTAACGAGGAGAGCAAGCTTGAGTGAATATGAGGGGATGATGGATGCGAGCTATCTAGTAGGGACCGCTGGAACCACTCTTCATCTTTCCCTGACTTAGCATTCACTTTCAAACCTGGGGTGCAACTGTGCCTCCCCATCCTCCCTCCCACTTTTCCTCCAGGGAGCAAGGAATCTCCTGGATCAGATTCCTGGAAGCGTAGGCACCAGGCAGCCATCTGCCAGCTGCTGCCTGGGCCCAGGGGAGACATCCACACCAGAGACACTGCCTGCCTGTTGAGCTACTTACTCTCGGTCCCATAGTGCTGCAGTGACTCTGGTCAGTGTGGGGCCTGGTGATGTTCCTGTCCCTAAGGCCACACACTATGCTCCTAGTCTCTCTGGTACTGGGGAAATCAGCCTAGTACCAAGTGGGGGAGGGGTAGAGCTGGGCAGAAGAGCAGGTGCACCAGACTTTCTATGTCCCTGGGAGTTCACAGGGCTAGCTTTAACTGGTTGTACCCCCATTGATGCACAGACTTGGAATGGACCCTTCTATCAGTAAGAGCTGGGAAGTTGGTACGGTCCTTGTGTGGCTTTTCATGTCCCATCCACGAGGCAGGCTACTTTGGTGATAGACAGGGGTCTAGGAGGATTGGCAAAAAGCCCAGGTACTTTCTCTACCTACAACCTAATCTGGCTATCCTCGTACCTGTGGCTCAGAGGTCACAAGTAACTGGGTGAGTGGAAGAGGGAGTAAATTGTTCTTGCTTGTGCTCAGGAGTGGCAGTGTGCCAGTGTCTGTGATTGGTCCCTGGAGGAAGAGCCAGTCTCTGCCTCTTCTTCCTTCTAGGAGTGTTCCTCTCCAGTCATGATCAGTGAGTTTGTCTGGCCCCTAGAACACACCACTTCTGCTCTTCTATCTCTTGGCTATGTTCATTTTGTTTTTCATGAGTCACATCCCTTTCCCCTCCCCACCCTGACCCTCACCTTCTCTTCAACATAGCCTCTTTGTTATCTTTTGTTTTTTTGAGGGGGGGTCTGAGTTTGAAACCCAGGATCTCATGCATGCAAGATAAATGCTTTACCACTAAGCCACACCCCTTGCTCTGCCCCAATCTCTTTATGTGCACCACACCTAGTGCTGGGCTGAGAGCCCTTTGGGGCTGATGCTGCAAGCTGATACTACCAGCTGCATCATGCAGCTCCTGGCTTTACCATTCTGGCATTTGTGGGTCAGCATGTGGAAAACACAGAGGGAGAGTGAAGACAGTCCCTGACCTCATCCTTGCCCTGTCCTTTGTATCGGGAGCTACAGATCAGAGAAATTGCAGGTCTCCTCTAGTCTAGCTTGGGGACTAGGGACTCTGGTTTGGGCTCATCAGAGTATAGTATTGCCTGGTGAAGGCACGCAAGGCTAGACCCTCTGGAGGTGTCCGTCAAGACAGAGGCAGGGGTTAAGGATCTGAGTGCAGCCCGTGCCTCCCTCTGGACAATTATTGGTTCTAGCTCTGCCATAGTCTCCCTTCCTTAGCTGTTGGGATTTTTCTTTCCTGACAGGGAGATAGGGGAAAGGCTCTGATTTCTACAGTTCTCTGATAGGGTCATTTTTATCGGGTACCCTGGTCTGTGAGCCGGCTAAGCAGACACACAACTGTAGTTCAGTGGATACAGACTGTGACTTGAGTTTTCAATAGATTACCCTTCTAAAGGGAAAGAGGAAGCTGGGCATGGTGGCGGATGCCTTTGACCCCAGCATTCAGGAGGCAGAGGCAGGTGGATCTCTGTGAGTTCAAGGCTAACCTGATCTACAGAGTGAGTTCCAGGACAACCAAGGTTACACAGAGAAACCCTATCTCAACAAGAAAATAGTGGTGGGGGTTATAAATAAACCAGCTAGAGCTGTGTTTAGGGCCCCTTCCCACCATCCTGGTGTCAGGGGTTGGGGCCAAGAGAAAGAGAAGAAATCACCGTTAGGATGACTTTTGGCAGGAATACGTATGCACATGAACATGACTCTTTTAAAAAAAGAGTCCCATGGTCAGAGTGGACTGTTAATGTGGACATAAATTATCTGAGCACCACAGGGCAATGCAGGCTCTTTTTGGTTTCAGGTCAATTAAGGATGGTCCAGGTGATCAGAGGTTAAATAACAGGACAAGGAAGGAAGGCCTGGCGATGAAAGGGTGAAGCCTGGAATGATAGGGCATTGGACATATGGTAATTCTCTGTTTTTATCCGAAGCTGGTCTCCAAGACTAGGTTCCCAGGGTCCTTTCTGTTGCCTAAAGAACCTCAACAAACTTCTAAAGATCTGAATCTTGATCTCAGGGGCCAAAACTTGGCTTTGAACTTTGCCCTTTGTCCAGATATCTACGGGACTGAAAGCTCTGACTTCCCCTCCCCAGGATTTAGGATTGTCCCTCACTCTCTGGGGTACAGGTAGAACTCTGGGGTCAAGCAAAGACACAGAAAGGACCTACTCCCTTGCTACCTTCACTTCCTGTTGTGTCTTGTTCCTTGGGGACCCTTCTCCCTCCTCTGACTGTCACCTCTTCCTTGCGATGATGGTGGAGAGGTGAAGTCACAGCTTTTAAAAATATTCTGACTTTGTTAATTAACCCTGTGAGTACAGCCCACCTAAGCCAGATTCTTCACAGCCTCCCGCTCTTCTCTTCCTCTAGGGCAGCATCTCCCACCTGCGACTCTCTTGGCTAGCGACAGAAAGGGACAGCCAGGGGGCGGCCAGGATCTGAGTGAGAAGCTCCTGGAAGCCCATAAACACACACACACACACACACACACACACACACATTCCATGCACACACCAAGCCTCTGGAACTTAGGCTCTTAGCACCCCTTTGTCCCAATCTAGAGGTGCCTGCCCTGTTTGTACACTCTGATGGTCCTCATGCTCTTTTCCATGGGGGTAACTTCTCTCTTATGGGTGTTTCTCACCCCCAAACTCTTGCCTCCAAGCTTGGAGAGAGTTGAGGTCCTTTCTTCCTTGGGATTACTTAGAACAAACATCTCCAAGGGAAGGTTCCAGTTGGCCCCTGACAATGGGATCTCAGGAAAGGGCCTAACACACCTATGGAATGAAGGGAGTTATCTAAACCAATGGTTCTTAAAATTGGCAGCAAATCAGAACCACTGGGGAGATGTCTTTTTCCAGTTACACCTGCCTGGCTTCATCTTGCACCTTATGAGTCAGGCTCTCTCTAGGGAAGGGATGCTTTGCAAAACACAGCCCCAGGTAGTTCTGATGCAGAACCAGATTGGGTGGGGAGACCCCAGTGATTTCTGCGAAACTTTCAGTTTCTGGTTGTAGCTCCACTACCCTCATCCACTTAGGAACCCATCTCCTGAAGGGAGACCCAAAAAGACTGCTGGTCTCTTGGTCATCAACTCCTGGCTTGTGTTTCTGTCGAGCTTTCTGAGGACTTGGGCAACAGTAACAATACAAGGGCCAGCTGGGTAAATCACCTGGTTAAGGCAAAGCCAAGACCCTATCCTCCCAAAGAGATGGACTTAAGTGAACCAGGCCCAGTCTTCTTTTCCAGTCAGCAGCCCCCACGCATTGGCTAGCCATAGAGGCCTTGGGGGCTGGCTCCTCCCTTAATCCTCAGAGCAGACAGAGATGAGGGAAGGTTAATTTCCATCCCAGCTGCTTGACAGCTGGGGCTGACAGTGACAGAATGGAGAGCCAGGAAATGGGGGAGAAAAGGTAGAGCAACAAAGAACCCCTGTCTTAGACCAAGAGTTGGCTCAGGCCTGTCTCAACTCCCTTAGAAGACATCCAGGGCTCATTGCCTCCCTCTGCTAATAAAACTGAGGCCCAGCGCGAGGATAAAATTTGTCTTTGACTCTTAGGTCAAACCCTTCCCCCAGGCCACTCTGTGATGGACGGGAAAGAAGGCCCGCAGAACCCTTGGCCCAACTGTGTCTCACCATCCTTGCGGTAGTAGAGGATGTCCACTTTGCACTCTTCAGCCCCAAGCAGGGCCTGTGCCAAGCGAGACACAGCACTGCTTGGAGTGTTAGGGCCTGTGAGGAAGTCACAGGTGCAGGGTCGCTGCATCACCTCCACCCGGGAGTAGCCAAAGAGCTCGCAGAAACCGTCATTGCAATAAATGATGGCACAGTTCTCCATCTGTGCATTGGCGATGAGGAACTTGCGACCTGGAGCGGGAGGTGAAAGGTAGGAAGACCCTGGGCAGCCAGAAATGGGTAGTAGGGAGACCAAGATTAGAGGGACCCATGGCAGCTGGGAAGGGGATTTTTATGTAGGAGCAGGCAGGGACCAGAATGAAGGAGGCAGAGGTCAGAGGAGGGTGGGGTGGGGTGGGAGGATCAAGGGTCCTGGGGGGAAGGTTATTCCCCCGAGGGGATGACTGTGTCAGGGAACAGAAAAGTAGAGGTGCAGAAGTCAGGTCTGGGGGCTGAGGAAAGACCAGGACAGCTAGGGTCAGTGGGGGTGGGAGGAAGGCCCCGGAATTCGGGGTCAGAACCAGGAAGCAGGACTGAGACCATCTGGGAGTCAGACAAGCTTATTGGGTGAAAAGCAGGAAGTCAAGCAAACCCCTAAGAGAGGCATGGGAGGTCTGGAGGGGTAAGGGGGACAGTGACTGAGAGGAGAGGCCAGGGTTTGGGACACCAAGGAAACTGCTGTGGGTGGTTTAAGAGCTGCATTCTGCCCCAGAGAGAACATATGAGGAGGTGTTGGGGACATCAAAACGAAGCATTATGTATTCAGAATCTAACCCTCCCTTTCGCCTCCTTTTCCTTCTACCCCATCAGAAGTTAGTACAGAGTCTGGCCCCTGCTGCCATCCAACCAGCACGCAGATAGTCCCCCACACCCCAAAACCTCACACTTACTCTGGCCCTCAAACTTGCGGATGATGGTGTCCAGGTAAGTGTTTTGGGGAGCGACGTGGCCCCTGCGGACTGGCATCTTTCCGTAGCAACACTTGGTGAGAGTCACTCGCGACCTGGTTCCTGGTGTCTCCCGTCAGTTCTGGGGCTCAGCGGCTTCTGGCTAGGGTGGGCGCCGCCCCCGGGGAGGGCTGTCGGGCCCCGCCCGCCCTCCAGCGTCTGCCCTCCCCGCCCTCACTGATCCTCCCCCGCCCACGGCTCAGCGCGCCTCCTCCCGCACGAGGCTCGCGCCCGGGAGCTGTCCGCGTCGTGGTGCTGAAATAAGCCAAGAGCTGGCAGCAAGGCGGGGTCCAGGACCTGGGCAACTTCTCTGATCTAGCAAGCAGTCTGAATCACCCTAGGGTGAGGGGCAGGGATCCTGGACCTGGGATGCTCTGAAGAACTTCGGCTCATGTCCAGATGGCCAGTGGCCTCAGCATTTCCTTGAACTCCTTCTGAATACTGAAGGGCAGTTTCCCAGGCAAGGAAGGGCAGAAGTTGTTAGGGGTTTCAGGTAGGCTTTTGTGGAAGGTTATCTCCGGGTTTGGCTGCTAGTCTGACTGTGGCAACAGGACACTTAGGTGTCTTGCCCATAAATGCCTTCCAGCAGGTCTAGTGGAAAATCCAACTGGAGCCTGTTCTAGGAAGATGAGGTAGGATACACACGAAGACACCAAAAAAAAAAAAAATGTTCTGTTCAGCATCTTCAGGGGCCTTGGAGCTCTTCACAGGAAGATCTTCAAGGAGGAATGGCTCTAAACTGACTATTAGCAAGTGACCACTGATAAACGTGTCTATGTAATGATTAAAAATGAACACATTAGAAGAAGCAAATTGGGGCGGAATGAAGTTTATTGAAGAAGTTTTTTTGGAGAGAAGGCAAAGAAGGACCACCATTCATTAAACATCGTGATGGTGGACTTGAAACTTTGCAGAAGGTCCCAAGATCAATTTTGAGCCATGTCTTAGTAGCAAGCATTTAAAGGGGAGCATGCACAGGCCTAAGAATGGCATCAGTGCAAAGGGACTGGAACCGGGTGATGGGAAAGGTGAAAAGGCAGGAAAAAAAAAACCCAATAACTGATAAACAGCTCCCGATACTAATTTGAACATCCAGATTTAATTGCTGGACAGCTAAGTTCTTAAGCAGTTTGACGTTCAGAAGGAAATTAGAAGACATTCAAAGGAAAAATTCTGGTAGAAATAAACTTTACAAAGTGGGTGGGGAAGGGGAGATGGCCAAGGAGGTTCAGCGAGGCTTCTGCTGTGGTCCAGGTGAGAGGCAGGGAGTCCCCGGCAGCTGGATGTGCCTTTGCCACGCAGAGTCGCAAAACCTGGTGGGGGACCTCGGCCACAGTGGCTGAGAGATGAGAGGGCTGCCAAGTGTGGCCTCCTGGGGGGCAGAGGTGTCTTGGCTGTCCCTGAATGTGGGGAGCAGGCTGTGGAAGAGAGGTGGGGACAGTGTCTCTCTCACAGTCAGTATTCAGGCGGCTGAGCTCTGAGGATGGACTCGGGCAGGGAGCTATTCATTCCAACATTTCCCCAGTCCCCATTGTGTACCAGGGCCTGTGCTGATCAGAGACATTACACAGAGTTCTCCTGGTGCGTATTAAGCCAAGTGGATCTGACAGCTAATAACGAGGACAAACAAGTGCATTATAGTAATAAATAAAGAACAGGATCTATGATAGAGACATCAAACAGGGTGCTGGAGAGTCTGGTGCTGGAGTAGGAGGAGCATGGGGAGTGGGTCTGGAGATCTGGGAGGAGAGAGGAATCAGGGGATCCACTCATTACTGAGTCCTCTCAACCTATGATTTGAGTTCAGATAGTATAAGGAAAGCTGGTCTCATGCTTAGGCTAACTGATGTCTCTTTTCTGTGGCTTCAGGTTATAATCATTTCCCCTCAAACCTCCCCTTTTCTCTGACAAATACTGACTCCCAGGCTTCCCAGGAGTGCCTGGAACTTTGGCCCTAACTTACCTGAAAATATTGAGTGAGGTGTCACTGTGGTCAGGAGGCAGAAGGGAACAGGTTGAAAAGAGGCCCTTCCACACTTTCACAAAATTACCCTTAGAACACCAGATCCCAAATGCCCTCCCTCATGGCTGTCTTCTCCCTTCCCCCACTGGGCCTGGAAAGGTGTGGTTTGCCCTGTGCTCGCTCTCCAGGGCAACGGGCCAGGCAGCAGGTGTGTGTGTTGAACAAGGCTATCTCCGGAGTGGAGTGACTGGAGATGAGCTTTGTTTAAATATTAAAGAAGTCAATCATTAATCATGCCTGGCTCAGTGCCCAGCTACCCACTGTCTCCATTCGTGAGGGCCTGCTTGGGGTAGGGAGAGCGATGGAGCAGTTTGTGAGGTTACTTGCATTTTAGGTGGTCAAACAAAGAGCCTTTTTGGGGCCTGGATTATGCAAACTGAAAGGGCATTACAGAGGACCATTAGAGTCCTGTGGCTCTACACAGAGCACAGGACTCAGGACCAGGGCATCAGCCATTTGTAAAGGAATGCCTAGTCCTACTGAAGGGCAGTGCCTAAGCAGACTGCAGCAGGTTCTTTTGCTAGGGATTCCTTGGATCCTGTAGCCCCAGGCAAGCCCCATAGCTAAGTGCCTGAAAAAGGAAAAAAGGAAGGATGTACGGAGAGTCAGTTCTCAGTATGACTTGGAGGAGAGGCTGTTTCAAAGGAACACAGCCACTGACTCCCTAAAACCGCCGTGTTTGAGCCACTGTGGGAAAGTACAGTTGACCTGGAGCCCAGGACACACATAGATCACACGTGGTCACAGATCTGTCAGAGCTGCACCCCATGACAGTTGGCACTATGCCTGCAGACCATCTCCTCCCTGGCCTGTCTGTCTCAGCCATCCCCCTGCCCTTTCCCCCCAGCCTCACCAGTCTCTATGGTGGCTACTCCTAGCTCTGTGACTCAGCTCTCGTCCATGGAGGCTTCCTCCTGTGTTGGGTGAGCATCCGAATGAGCAGGCCAATAAAGCACAGGGTGAGGATGAAGCAGAGACCCAGCAGGATCCACTGTTTTCGGGCTGCCTTCCGGGGTTCCATGGCTATGCCCAGAAAGTAGGTGTAAGGCAGGGTGCTGAGTATCATTGTGTCCTTGCCCAGTGACTGCTTTTCCAAGTAGCGCAGCCTACAGCCCAGCCCCAGAATGAGGAGGAGCATGGCTAAGCTAATGCTTAGCAGCACCCACTGCCCCAGGTGAGCCTGCTCAGGTTCCAGCACCATCCCCAGGAATGACACTTTGTCTGTGCTTTTCTCTGTGGGAAAAAAAAAAAAACAATAATAGAAGCGTCTTATAGAGCAAGAAAGCCTGGGGAAGGGGTCCTAGGGTCCCCTGTGACTGCCAGGAAGGAGTTGATGACCACTGTCTTCTCTCTCGGTCTCAGGCCACAGGTGAGGGAATTGCCTTGCAGCAAGGGAACAAAAAAAAAAAAAAAAAAAAAAAAAAAAAGGAAGAGAAGATGTAGGCGGGTGGGGTGATGTAACCCACAGAGCTCAGCTTGGGGCCTTCTGCCCACTGACCAGAGGCCAGCACGGCAGTCTTGGCTGGATGATGTACAAGGAAATCATAGAGATAAGAACTGTGTATGAACCATGGAACTGGCTGAGGTTGTCCCTGGCCTGGTACATTTGGGGTTTACTGAACTCTACTGTGCTGGCCCATGCCAGGCCATAAACTGACTAGAGTTTAGGATTGACCCAGAGCAGAGTAGGGCAGGGCCTCAAGCTGCATCAGAACTGGGGCCAAAGTTAGTTTTGTCCAACCTTCAAAAGAACAGCTGTAGTCCAGCCAGCCAAGGATATCCCCCTGCTTCACATTCTCGTTCACCAGCCAGTGCAGTAGCGGCTTGAAGTAGGACAAGAAGGACTTGGCGGATATATTGGACTGTCCAGTCATCTCCTTTAGGACCTCCTGCCAGGGCCGGCTGGAACCCAGCTTCAGGACATCCCTGTGGGGAGTGGGGTCATCTGTGAGACCGTGTGGGAGTGTCAGTGGGTGCCGCTGGGAGCCCTCAGTATACACGGCTCTAACTTCTGAACTTCGCCAGCCAGGACTCCAGAGCTCAGCACAGTAGATAGGAGCAAGATTCACCTGGGGTGACACTCAGCTCCATCCCTGTGATACCCTGGACAAATAACTCATCTGAGGCTCCGTTCTCATCTCCGTAAGTGGAGGTAGCAGGATAGGGCTGCTAGCATTCTGGGAAGTGATAGATTCCAGCTCTTGCTGCTGATTGGCCTTAGTGTTACCGTGGGCATTGTTATTCTCAACTCAAACAGGCAGCCAGCCTGCGCCTCTTTTTACCCTAATGTATTTGTGATAGCTACAGCCCTTTGGTCCTTCTTGGCCACACAGGGAAGGATTGAGAGAATTCAAGTGACCATGGGAGGTTCTCTGTGTGACACCCGCAGTGCTGTGCAAATATCAGCTGTCTTGAGGCACACCCAGGACTTGGTGGCAGATGGCAGGCTCGCTGCTTTCACCACGGGAAGGTGCAGAGGGTGCCAAAGCCAGAGCTCCAGGCTCTTTACCCTGACCTTGCCAAACAGCAGCACTGGGCAGATGTTGACATCTCTCAACCTGTTGTTCCAGGGTCTAATCAGGAAAGAGATGGGACTTGGAAGCTTAGAGGTCACTGTATGGGGTACCCAGGTTCAAAACCCAGCAATGCTACTTAGAGACCGTATAACCCTAGGCATTTAACCTCTCTCAGCCTTGGTTTCTTCATCAGTAACATGAACTCGCATAAATATCTGCCTTTCACAGTACCAAGTCACACGATGATGAAGGAATTTGTCACTTGCCGGATTTGTGCATGCTACTGGAGCCAGACGTGGGAACTGAAAACCAGTGGATATATAGCAGAAACTATGGGATACAGTAGCCTAACTTGTGTGATTTGCATGGGTTTGATTCCCCAGCATTTCAAAAAAAGAAACAAAGGAAGAAAGGAAAGAGAAAAGAAATCACCGAGGGAAAATCTTTTTGGTTTTTCGAGACAGAGTTTCTCTGTTGCTTTTGGAGCCTGTCCTGGAACTAGCTCTTGTAGACCAGGATGGCCTCGAAC